GAAATTTAAGGAAAGCAGATTTTCTCTGAAATTTTATTGAAAGAAATCAACATCCTAGATTGATGACTTAGCAGACACCTAAGTGGAAAACAATCATTCAGAAGGATGATCCACATTTTGTCACCAAAACAGCATAAAAATGGGAAGACACTTTCTGTAATGACATAAACCAAACTGAAGTCTGCTTATTCTGTAAAGCTGGCATTAGAGCTGGCATTAGAGTTGGCATTAGGTATACAGTCCTGGATTCCAGGGAAAACGGTATGTTTAAAGCATATGCATCCCACATTTAATGAGAGAATACTTTTGAATTGCTCATTTTTAAGTTACCAAGTGAATTCCTGTGGTTGAACCTAGACTGGATCTTAAGAGCACAATGCATGTGCACTCATGCACACACAGAGGGACACAGACACACACACACACACACACACACAGGACACATGTTCTTTTTGCCCCTAGGAGATTGAAATTTGATTTCCAAGTAGGTGGACAGGTTGGCGATTGAAATCCAACTGCTCTGCTTCTCAAAACACTAGGCATGAGGGTTGTTTCTTCTGATTGGTTATCCCTGGAGAGAAGTAAAGAGCAGAGGGAGAACACACGGTGGACAAATGCACCTGAGCTGGCTGCTGGATCAATGGTCAGTGTCAGCAGGGCTCTACTTAATGAAGCTGATGCGCGCGTCACTGCCTCGCAGACAACAGTGGGTAGCCCTGCCAAGGCGGACCAAGCAGAATCTATTGGAAGACAAAATAATTGCTTCATTTTGTGGTACAAAGATATAAATCTGATTTTTGTGTACATAAGAGCTAGCTTTAAATCCTTAACTGGAAGAGACCCTCACACAGAACATGATACAAAGTAAAAGATGATAGAAAGAGCAAGTGCGGGGCAGTCTGGTTCACAGAACTCCAGGAGTACTGCTAAGCGGGCTTTAGAGTCAAGCCACTCTTGGGCTCTGTAGGCAAACACCCAGCCAAAAGCATGCTGTCTCCGACACAGGAAAAATAGTTGTTTTCATTTGTACTCCATGATAAAGTGTTTTGACAAATCCATAGAAGCAGGGGGAAAAAACCTGCTGATGTGATTTACACCAACTTTATCTCATTATTGCCTTCTGATTATGGGGGGGCCTCAGCAGGTCTCCCTACCCAGATGCTGTATCTGGTATACACCTGAGAGTTCAAAGGAAAATGGAGGTGACAGAGCTAACTCAGAATATCTATGGCATGTTTACATTTCTTGCATTTCCTTGAACTGCCTTTGTGCTGGCAAGTAGAAATATGAGGCAGCGATGTCCTTTAAAAACCTATTTCTAAATGTTACTAAGATTAGAATTCTGCCATAAGTTCTTTGAAGTATTAACCACAATAAAGTAGCCTAAAATTAATTTAGATGATAGCTATAGCATTCACGTACTCAGAATTCTCCATCATAATCCACTTTAGAGCTGATAAAATTATGCTTGTTTTTAAGGAATAAAATTGACATCAATAAAACAGACCTGAGTAGCTTTGAAGCAACCCTACTCTAGAAGAATAGTGGAGACTCCCACTTTTTTTCATAATCTAGTGAGATGGAATTTGAATTCAAGTTGATGGGCATCCAAACTGTAGTCTTAACTTAGTCCAGCACTTCAGAGACTGTCACTTTTGAATTGAACTACTTCCCTTGCACTTTAACCAAGGTCTCAAGAGTCTTTGTAAAATCCCTTTTCCTAAAATTTTCCTCCACTGACTTTGCACACAAATATTGAGTATTTAATGGACAGGTGATCTCTTTCCTCTTTTCGGCTGTGTGACCTAAGGCAAGTCAACATTTTGAGTGCATCTTACCTAATCTTGTTAAAAAGGAGAATATGAACGACTACTTGATGAAGTGTTCACAAAAATGAATGTAGGGAATGTGTCTAAATAACATGCCTTGCAACCAAGGAGATAAAAATAAGTATACTGCCTTTCTATCTCTTTGGTCACTAATAATAGAAATCTCCCCAGGATGCGAAAGTACCTTATCTATGAGACTCCCTTCACCAATCCTGCTACTAGGCTGGTAGTTCAAGCCACCACGTCCCTAAATCATTCATTAAATCAAACTCTGTACCAACAAACCTGTAGCGCAGGCATTTCTCACCTTAGTTTTTGTTGAGCAAACCACAGTGAGAAATGGGCAATAAAGAGTAAAACAAATATCTTAACTCATCTATATTCTCCTTTAATCCAACTCCAGATTTTCTTAGCTGATTCCTCTGTTGTCAACAGATGGGAGCATGAGACTTGGAAAAAATTTAGAATAAAATCTGACTTTCAATGAGCTTGGGAAAACCCTTTATCCTGTCTGGCTCTGTTTTCTCAACTGCCAAGTGGGGACACTGATGAGTTAAGACACTTATCTTCTAGGAATATTGAAATTTACATATGTGTGTATTCATATATTTATTAATTAGTCCATATATGGAGACTCATTAAACTGAATCAGTATCTCCAGATAACTCAATTTGTTCCATTTTCATTCAAAATGCACTGGGAAACAGTCAACAGCGCAAAACAGATCTTGGAAAGGAGGCAGATTGTCTTTCCTTGGGATGAAGGAATTCAAACACATTGCCGACTGTTGATGCTATATTAATAAAAGCTAAATGTATGCCAACAAATAACATATAAACACTTGAACAATGTGGGCATTAGAGACACCCACGCCCACACACTTGAAGATTCTGTGTACCTTTTGACTTCCTGAAAACTTGGTCATCCCTTGTACCCCTGGGGATGGGTTTCAAGGTGACATGGATACCAAGATCTGTGGATACTGATTCTCAAGTACCAACATCTTCCTATGGCTAAAAATTACTATTACCTTACAATCACATACACATATGTACACAGACACACACACACACACAGACACTAATTATTCTTTAATGTTACAGGTTGCAAAGTTAGCCATTTTCCACCACAATCTGACGTGATCCTAATGGATAAAGTAGACCCATGACTCTATCACCAGCCTGGCAGATTTTACCCCATTACATTTACTCTGCTGTAAAACAGATGAACTCTGTTGGGGCCTGAGGTGATTCTGCCAAGTGAAATAAATCAGAAAGACAAAGACAACCATCAGATGACTTTACTCATATGCACAATATGAAGAAAACAAACAAGCAGATGAACAAAACAAAAACTCTTGACAACTAAATTGTCAATCACATACACATATGTACACAGGCACACACACACACACAGACACTAATTATTCTTTAATGTTACAGGTTGCAAAGTTAGCTATTTTCCACCCAAGGTGGGGAGGGGTAAAATGTGGGAGGAAAGGGTAGATGAAGTCAATTTGGTAGCAATGAATGGTGGTGGCTATAAAATGGTAGTTACCATTTATCAAGGTGTGAAGCTGAACCCAGAAACTTACACAGTATTTTAAACAAATGATATATCAATTTAAAAAAAAAATGTATTTTCAGACACAGCAGCAATCCTCACTTATTATGTGAAAAGAAAATTCAAGCTATCTTATTAGAAGCGCCTTATAGTGATAAGAGTGTAATGTCACCTAAGCTTTAGACTCATGGTTCAAAGCAGGAAGATGACAATTCCTTTATTATTATTTTTTTAACCTTTTAGGATTTTTTCTTATTCAAAGATAGAAATTAATGTACAAGGAGATGAAGAACATGTGAAAATGTTCCTTCTTTAATATATATTTAAAAAACTATTTCTTAGGATCTGTGCAAGCTCTGCAATCACTCTTTACTGCTTAAGTTCTCAGGCTTCTACAAAATGAAAAAAGTTATGTATATGAGAAAAGGTTGTTACTGTAGGTTAAGTAGTAAATGAAATAAACAGGTATTAAGAGAAAAAAGACCACAGCTACTTAAATTTTTACTGTACTATTTTAAATTTTATATTTTATTTATATTAGGATATAATACAATTTTCAAAGCTAGTAACAGAATCTTTTAGTATGTGTATTTGAAGCATAACAAAATAAAAGTATTTCACAAAAAGTCCATATTACAGTACTACTGAAATATAAGGCATAGGATAATTATGTAATTGTGGGTTATAAACATAATACATTAATTTTAAAGAAAAACATTTAATATGAATAACATTTTGGTTAAAATAAATATGTAAATGTTAACAGCAACACCTGAAGTATATGGATACAAGAAAGGTGTTTTGTGATAGATACCAGGTAGAATGGCAAAGCATTCATGAAATATCTTACTAAATTTACAATCATTGCACATTGTTGAGCACTTTATTTATATTGGGGTACCCTTCATTGACCATTCCTAAACCTCAGCATACAAAACAAAGTTACCCCCAGTGTAACCTGGGTAACCTGTACCAATGGTTAAAAAAGGTTTAGAATCAGATATGCCTTTCATTTTACTGATTCTCAATTCCTTTAAAATGTTTCATTTAACACAAAATTGATTTACAAACAAAGGTATAGAGAGAACATTTTGTAGGTGATTATAAAAGTAAAACCTATAATCATCTTCATAATTCTTTGAAATGATCCCATTCTAAATTAAAATTTACACAGTGGTTTCAGGAAAAATATAAACACTTAGATAAAAAAGATACAATATCAGAAACAAAGTTTCTACATGTAGAAAATAATGAAATTCCCTGATCATTCAATTCTTCCCAGCTAATTCCTTTGGCAGATAGATTAACTAAAAGAAAAGCTTAAATCTTTGCTTAAAAGTCATTGTTAGCAGGCAGCTAATGCAGTTTAGAGCTGCATTATTTGCAGTATTTTTAAATACTGCAAGAAAAAGACTGCTTCAACCACAAACATTTCATCTCAATCAATTATATTACAATAGAATGGACATGACACCAATGGTTAACTGGAAACAGTTTTACTTCTACTACTAGAGATAACTCTCTGGGTGCTCAGTAAGAATGTTCTAAGGCAGTAGAACCTGGGAAGAACAATTCATTCAGTCTTCATTAAGATCAACCAGTTTCATCTGCCTATGTTAAGATAAAATTGTCCTTCAGATAACATGACTGATGGATAACATAACTGATTAAGTTTTGGGGAAAAATAGCTTATTTTTTTTTTGCCCTTTACACATTTTTTAAGTGTACAAATTATTTGAAACTATTCAAATGACTATAGGAAAAATACTTATATGAAAAAACAAAACCAGTAGTTTTATCAGCTAAAGGAAGGTGTCCTCTTCATGTTAACAGGATTATATATCCCAAGGTCATGGGTGGCATGGTCTGCCACTCGGCCATTTGGCTAGTCACAATGCTGTGAGGAATAACCAGTCATCACTAACAGGAAGTTGTTCAGGGAAAACACATCTCCACAACAGTATTTAGGAAACTCTGCACATTTCCTTAAAGTAAATGAAGTGTTATCATCTCTGTCATCTTCATTCTTGAATACAGTACTTTGCTTAAAATCTTCTCAACAGAAATGTAAATCTCATAAAAATTCTGGCTGTGGTAACAATGGCTAGTTTTCATTTCTTTAAACATGTTCTACAATTACAATCTTGTCCAATGAACTGAAGCTGTATCAACATTCACAGGTACGGTGCAACATACATCCTTTTCTTCCTCTCAAACAAGACAAAATACACCATCCACACAGGGTAGGCCAATATTTTGAAATTTAAAAAAAATGTTTCAATCCAGGGAAAGTGTTGGTATGCCAAAGATTTTTAAAAAGATTTTATGTTCAGAAAATATTAATGAATAAAATGCACATACAATATAAATAAGAAAGTAACTTGAAGAATATAAAAAAATTTCTGAAGGGGACCAATCAGCACTTCAATAAAATCTATGAATAAAACAGACACTTATACTACAGTATACAATTATGAGTAGAGCATTTAAATTTATAAAGAAATTGAAATATAGTACTGCAAGATTATTCAAAGAATATTTTTCAAATGTACAAACAACAGCAAAAACACAAAAAAGCTTGGGCAATGTGCAAGTTTTAAAATTACTATCACACCAGCCAAAAAAATCCTTAACCACTTTTTAAATAGATTCATTTATACCATTTCAATGCAAAGAAACAATCAAAGAAATTAAAACAAAATAAAGCAAAAACACTCTTCAGTGTCTGACTCACATTTTGTCCCCAAATCTTTTCACATTTAAAAGTTGCATTTCGAATGTATAAGCAAAGAATTTTAAATGTTTCTGAAATAGTGTATGTCTACATTTATCTTAATTATATTTAAAAGCTACAATGCTAAGGACTAAAACACATACTTTAAACTGTTACAGGTGAAGTCATCACAAAAGTTCACGATTGTGCTCATCTCAAATGTCCGTAAGTGACTGAAAGGCGAACAAGTCACATGTTCAGACACTTCCCAGTCTATGCTGCTGAGTGCCAGACTGCACCTGCAATATTTGGCACTGAGAGTCTATTTGAACACAAATTTATCAGCAGAAAACTCCTAGGCCTGAAAACATATAGTCACTACATGTTTTACATTTTACTGATTCTCCTAACATGCAATTTAATTATTCCAAAGTCATTTGGGGTTTTGCGAAAGGTGACTTAAGTTGGTACAAAATGAAGCTTATATGAAAACTGGTTAAGGATTCAAAGCATATCAGCTCTGAAATATTAACACCCAGACAGAAACAGGGAGGTATAATTTGCACAAAAATACTTTAAATTATTTTGGTTAAGTTCTTCATGATCTTCTGTATGTTTAGCTGCTTGTGGTACACGCGTGCATCCTCTTTGCTACGTCATAAACATAAGTGATGTCTGGTCGCTTCTCAGGGTCTGGGTTGATACACATATTCACTAACTGTCGTAGCTGCCAAGAGAGAAAAACAACATGCGTAAGAAGACCGTTTCAGTTCATAATTACAAGTGAAGAAATTTCAAATATCTACAGATTTACAAGAAAAGTACATTTTCTGAGTAAATATTCATTTGGCTAGAAACAAACATGACTGGTGTCAGTGATTTTATAATTAGTTGAATGTTCTAAGGAATATATTTATTGGTGACTATTAATGTCAAGCAAGAAGTATTTTTCATGATAAGAGGCTTTAAATGGCCATATTAAATTTCAGAGAAAATTAATCAGAAGACAGCTTACAAAAAACAGTAGTTTTTTTTAAACTATAAAGCTCCAAATTAACTGTAGATAGATATACTTAACTGTAGATAGATATACTTATTTGATCTAAACTTATAACCTTGATTCTAAGTTTAAACTTTAATAATTAATTTTATATATATAAAATTTTATATGAGGCAATTAGGATAGATGTTAGCACATACATTTATCATTAGTCATTATATAAATACATACAATGCTTTTAATTAGTTTATATTAGATTAGAATGGGGTGAGTTAAGCACTCCTCTAAACTAAAAATAGGACAGCCAAGAGCATACAATGAAGAAAGAAGTCTCTTCAAAAAATGGTGCTGGGAAAAACTAATGCTAAACAGTGTGGATGTTTCTTAAAATAGTAAAAAATAGATCTACCACGTGATCTAGAATTCCATTCCTAGGTCTCTACCTAAAGCATGCAAAACCACTTAATTCAAAGCAATATATACACTTCTGTGTTCACTGCAGAACTATTTACAATAGCCAAGTTATGGAAACAACAGATGTGCCAAAGACGGATAAGAAGACTAAGATGGTATGATGTATATTCATAATGGAACACTACAGAGTTATAAAAAAGAAAGATGAACTTTTGATATTTGCAACAACATTGATGGAACTGGAGGAGATTATGCAAAGCAAAGTCAGTCAGAAAGAAAAACACAAACACTGCATGATTTCACTCATATGTGGAATACAAAGTGATGGGCCAAAGTAAGCCAAAACAAATCTTAGAACTGACTGAGGCTACTAGAGGGGAAGAGAGGCCAGCAAAAGGCGAAAGGAGGCTCAATGGACAATGGTGGAGGATTATGGGTACCTTGATGGTGAGTGTAGGGTGGCAACACACATCTGAAGAAGTATGGGTCTCTCTACCTCTGAATCAAATGATGTTGCAAACCAATGTTACCTCAATAAAAAATAATTCAATAAACAATGAACAAAGAACAATCAATTATGAACAAGGTAAATTGTAAGTAGCATTTGAATTCTCAATTGTATGTGGTAATATTACTGTCATCACTGTACAGATGACACAGTAGAGGTCACGTGTTTACATTGCAGGGGAAAAGGCACACCCTACTGAGTTAAGAAAACACCCGCCCATTGGATTCCAGAGCCGCTGAGTGGAAGAACATGGGATTTCATTCATGGTTCTAACTGTCATCAGTCTATGAAACTATGTGTCTTTATAACACTACACATGATCTTTCACAGACCATAAGACAACTTAAGAGGAAGAGTGAGCTTCTTTTGCCTTGTAACCATGTCATTAGGAATAATTCAGCTACTTTGAAAACTGCATTAATTCCTCTGGTTAACATATTAACACTTAATAAATTAAAAAATATATAATTTCATCATAGTCCTAAATTTCTATCATAAAAAGAACTTTCATCTAGAGGAAATGAATGGCGATGAAATCTGTGGGCTGCATCTGTTTAAATAGTGCTATGGCGAAGGCTTGTGTCACTGGGAAATGTCACGCTGAAGCAAGTGTGTATGAGGCTCGCCAGACCAAGGGAGGGCTGGAGAGGAGACAGAACAGTGAGCGTGCTGCAAACAACGGTGGTGCAAGCAAGGCACTTGGTCGAGATTTATTTCTTCATCTACTACTTAACCAGAAAGGCTGGAACAGATGACTGCTAAAGGCTCTTCTCTCATTTCTAAAATTAGATGATTCGGCTGGAGTTAAGTTTAATGATTTGACTTCACATGTGGAAATTAGTCAATGTTGATGGTGATGCTGCACCTGCTGAGAGGGTCTGAGCATTTTCATTCTTGCAAAAGAGCAGAGAACAGCAGTAAATGTCCTTAAGGGACATTTTAGAGTAGTGATGTAAGAGAAGTTCAAGTAAGAAAGAGGTTGTTATTTTCCCCACTATAATGAGAAAACAAAACAAAACAAAACACCCAGTTATACATGATGAAGAAAATAGAGAAACAGAGAAAATGGTAGGAAAAGCATTTACAGCAATAGTAAAAAGATAATGAAAATGAAAAGGCAATTTCTTTCGAAATAAAAAAGATAAAAGAAGCATAAAGGGGCCTCCCTGGTGGCCTAGGAGGGTTAAGTCTCAGCACTACCAGTAGGATGATCCCCGAGTTCGATCCCCAGGCAGGGAGCTGACCCACAGGGCACAGCAGACTGCTCCTGGCTCGCCCGCTGCCCCCTCAGCAGTGTGTTTCAGTAGATCTGCCTGTTCTGTTCCCAACTTGTTTCTGGTGAATCCTCTCACTCCTCTACCTCTGATCTATACCCCAGTTATTCTACACAAAAATTAATAAATAAAATCTTTTAAAAAAGCAGCAGCAGAAAGGATGAAAGGAAAACTGTGGTTCAAAATGTCACAGTGCTTAACCAAAACACAAGTAGGTCCAACAGCGGTTCTTTGAATAAAGCTGCCGCATCCTTCAAGTTGGCATTAAATCTTTCTTTTCCTGCCTTCTAAACACAAAATAGGGTGAGATTTCCAACTGAATGCAGCAAATGGTGGGCCCTGGAGTTCTTCTAGGAGGAGAAACCACCCTGATTGGAGATGGAATGATGCAGTTTATCTAAAAAGGCAGTGGCTCTCTAGCTCTCCAGAGTAAAAGATGAGAACCAGGAATGACAAGAGAGGAGAAGATAAAGACAGATAAAGGGCGAGCAGTGGAAACAGCAGTGAATGTTGCTTCTTAACCCTCCCAGAGGACAGCAAACCAGAAATCCCTTAGGAGACAGAGCTAGCACAATGCAGTTATGCTAGTTTAATCTCCAATAGAAATGTACTTCATTTTATCTTCAAGATTTTATTTTTGAGAGGAATTATTATTTTTATGATATAAAATGAGATATAAAGTATGCATACCTCATAAACAGCATTTATGATTCAGGTAATGCTGATGTTCAACTTGATATGTTTTTTCCTAAACTTCTTAAATAAACATTTAACAAAGTAAGAAACCAAAACCCTATAAAATTAAAGTATGTTTGTGCATCAATTAAAGCCTTTGGCACACCAATATTTCCAGAGGACCTACTCTTTTTTCAGAGAGATGTTGGCATTAGGGGGCATGAAGGATAAATCAAACCACCTGTCCACAAAAGAAGGCTGACTGTCCAGGGTGAGAAGAGAAGGGAGTGACTCATTTTCCTTCCTGATAACCTGACTCCCCCTTCCCCCACGTGCCATCCATTCCTTAAATAAAATCTGACTAGTTACTATGTACCTGCCACTTTATGTACTGGAGGGATAAGGCAGCAAATGAAATATACATGTCACCTGCCCTTATACAGTTTGCAATCTAGTGGGGGAAAAGAGAAATGATTAATAAGGAAACAAATAGGAGGCTGAGAAATCATATGAACAATTCTATGTATAAATTATAAAGCGATAGATATCTCAAGAGACCTGGTGAGGCAGTCAGAAGTAAAAAGACTCCACCGAGACAATGCCATAATTATCCTTCTTTTCCTGCATTCTTTTCACTCAGTTGTTCCACCTCATTCATGGAAAACACCAGGTTGGACATCAGGTTGACAGTCCAAGGACTGCAGCTGTCACTTGGGGTCACTATGATATCCATACTCTGTCCAATATGTTTCTTGGTTACCAGACCTTAATACTCACTTTCATACCATTTTAGTCTCTGCCTCCCAGAAGCACAGCCTATGCCTCAAAATGTTGTGGGGTCACTTAAGAAAAGTCAGAACAAGCTGCTGTCCTGTCAGGCGTCTCACCCTATCTCAGCCCGGCTGCACTATGATTTCTGATTCACCCTATTTCCAGGCCACTTCCCTCCAGTAAATCATCTCCTGTTGAATGTGTTGTTCACTTCCGATCTAGACCTCACAACACAATTCTTTAACCACTTCTTTGGCAACATCACCACTAATCAGTCTTTATTTTCTCTCCCTATACCTCCCCTGAAAAACTAGGGACTGCTGGAGAAAACCACAGAAAGCCCCCAGTCAGTAGTCACCAGATTCAGGATTCCAACTGAAACTGGACTGTGGAGGCTGTTTTGCACCCAAATGTTATACCTGATGAGCCCCAGGCCCCTACATGGCTATTTCCAGATCACTGCCGTGGGCACCACCTGCTAACTCCTCCCATCCACGCCCTGACCTCCCACTTCACAAGAAAGCCAAACAACCCCTATGCTTCTTCAGTCTCTTGCCCCCACACTTTCAACCCTACCTACATCTGAGTCATCTTTGCATTTACTCTTCTGTGGTCAAAGGGATTTTTTTCCTACTCTCAACTCTATTGCTGGAATCTCTTCCATCTCTGAATCTTTACAGAGTTGAATCGCAATGAAAATTTAGTAAGTGAATGAATCTATCATTCCTCTTCTGTATTTTCGATTCCCCTTCATTTGCTGATTCTTTATCATCTATTAGTACCATTAAGTTTCTCTCAGATTAAAGGAAAAAATGCACAGAACTGCTGCTAACTACTTGTCCCTCTAATTTTTTTGCCTTAAGGCCGAGCCTCTGGAGAAAAATTTTACTTACATTATCAAGTTCTTCAGCCTACTAAATTAAGCTCTCTAGAATGAACTATTCATTTCCATTCCCTACAAGTACTTCGAAGAAAGTACACTGGCAAGGATCAGCACTATATGCCAGTTGCTAAATGTAATAACTCTACCCGTCAGCTCTTATGTAGCTGGCGCTGTGTTCACATTCTTGTTGGGAGTCTCCTTC